GGACCACTGAGCCGGCATCCAATGGTGATAGTTTCTAACATCAACCAATCCACGAAATTGCGCGACCAACTTCCATTGTACTGAGGTAGATACCTGTCTCTACCCGACAAGGATTAGCTCCACTGATCACGGCTTCTCACTAGAACTCCGAGAATTCCCTCACGAAGCTAGTCACTAGTGAGCACATGTTAATTACTAGTATAGGGGTTGTGGAGATTATTAAGTTTTTGATTGAGATCATGAACCGATTAATGTTAGACCATCACAATTGAAAACCTGGAAGCACTGGACGGCCGTTTCGTCCTATTGTGGGACTCCTCAGCAGTGCGCATCCACGATCCCGCGAGCGGGACTCGAACCCAGGGCCTTCGGTCTCGCGCGCGAACGCTTAACCAACTGGACCACTGAGCCGGCATCCAATGGTGATAGTTTCTAACATCAACCAATCCACGAAATTGCGCGACCAACTTCCATTGTACTGAGGTAGATACCTGTCTCTACCCGACAAGGATTAGCTCCACTGATCACGGCTTCTCACTAGAACTCCGAGAATTCCCTCACGAAGCTAGTCACTAGTGAGCACATGTTAATTACTAGTATAGGGGTTGTGGAGATTATTAAGTTTTTGATTGAGATCATGAACCGATTAATGTTAGACCATCACAATTGAAAACCTGGAAGCACTGGACGGCCGTTTCGTCCTATTGTGGGACTCCTCAGCAGTGCGCATCCACGATCCCGCGAGCGGGACTCGAACCCAGGGCCTTCGGTCTCGCGCGCGAACGCTTAACCAACTGGACCACTGAGCCGGCATCCAATGGTGATAGTTTCTAACATCAACCAATCCACGAAATTGCGCGACCAACTTCCATTGTACTGAGGTAGATACCTGTCTCTACCCGACAAGGATTAGCTCCACTGATCACGGCTTCTCACTAGAACTCCGAGAATTCCCTCACGAAGCTAGTCACTAGTGAGCACATGTTAATTACTAGTATAGGGGTTGTGGAGATTATTAAGTTTTTGATTGAGATCATGAACCGATTAATGTTAGACCATCACAATTGAAAACCTGGAAGCACTGGACGGCCGTTTCGTCCTATTGTGGGACTCCTCAGCAGTGCGCATCCACGATCCCGCGAGCGGGACTCGAACCCAGGGCCTTCGGTCTCGCGCGCGAACGCTTAACCAACTGGACCACTGAGCCGGCATCCAATGGTGATAGTTTCTAACATCAACCAATCCACGAAATTGCGCGACCAACTTCCATTGTACTGAGGTAGATACCTGTCTCTACCCGACAAGGATTAGCTCCACTGATCACGGCTTCTCACTAGAACTCCGAGAATTCCCTCACGAAGCTAGTCACTAGTGAGCACATGTTAATTACTAGTATAGGGGTTGTGGAGATTATTAAGTTTTTGATTGAGATCATGAACCGATTAATGTTAGACCATCACAATTGAAAACCTGGAAGCACTGGACGGCCGTTTCGTCCTATTGTGGGACTCCTCAGCAGTGCGCATCCACGATCCCGCGAGCGGGACTCGAACCCAGGGCCTTCGGTCTCGCGCGCGAACGCTTAACCAACTGGACCACTGAGCCGGCATCCAATGGTGATAGTTTCTAACATCAACCAATCCACGAAATTGCGCGACCAACTTCCATTGTACTGAGGTAGATACCTGTCTCTACCCGACAAGGATTAGCTCCACTGATCACGGCTTCTCACTAGAACTCCGAGAATTCCCTCACGAAGCTAGTCACTAGTGAGCACATGTTAATTACTAGTATAGGGGTTGTGGAGATTATTAAGTTTTTGATTGAGATCATGAACCGATTAATGTTAGACCATCACAATTGAAAACCTGGAAGCACTGGACGGCCGTTTCGTCCTATTGTGGGACTCCTCAGCAGTGCGCATCCACGATCCCGCGAGCGGGACTCGAACCCAGGGCCTTCGGTCTCGCGCGCGAACGCTTAACCAACTGGACCACTGAGCCGGCATCCAATGGTGATAGTTTCTAACATCAACCAATGGAAGTTGGTCGCGCAATTTCGTGGATTGGTTGATGTTAGAAACTATCACCATTGGATGCCGGCTCAGTGGTCCAGTTGGTTAAGCGTTCGCGCGCGAGACCGAAGGCCCTGGGTTCGAGTCCCGCTCGCGGGATCGTGGATGCGCACTGCTGAGGAGTCCCACAATAGGACGAAACGGCCGTCCAGTGCTTCCAGGTTTTCAATTGTGATGGTCTAACATTAATCGGTTCATGATCTCAATCAAAAACTTAATAATCTCCACAACCCCTATACTAGTAATTAACATGTGCTCACTAGTGACTAGCTTCGTGAGGGAATTCTCGGAGTTCTAGTGAGAAGCCGTGATCAGTGGAGCTAATCCTTGTCGGGTAGAGACAGGTATCTACCTCAGTACAATGGAAGTTGGTCGCGCAATTTCGTGGATTGGTTGATGTTAGAAACTATCACCATTGGATGCCGGCTCAGTGGTCCAGTTGGTTAAGCGTTCGCGCGCGAGACCGAAGGCCCTGGGTTCGAGTCCCGCTCGCGGGATCGTGGATGCGCACTGCTGAGGAGTCCCACAATAGGACGAAACGGCCGTCCAGTGCTTCCAGGTTTTCAATTGTGATGGTCTAACATTAATCGGTTCATGATCTCAATCAAAAACTTAATAATCTCCACAACCCCTATACTAGTAATTAACATGTGCTCACTAGTGACTAGCTTCGTGAGGGAATTCTCGGAGTTCTAGTGAGAAGCCGTGATCAGTGGAGCTAATCCTTGTCGGGTAGAGACAGGTATCTACCTCAGTACAATGGAAGTTGGTCGCGCAATTTCGTGGATTGGTTGATGTTAGAAACTATCACCATTGGATGCCGGCTCAGTGGTCCAGTTGGTTAAGCGTTCGCGCGCGAGACCGAAGGCCCTGGGTTCGAGTCCCGCTCGCGGGATCGTGGATGCGCACTGCTGAGGAGTCCCACAATAGGACGAAACGGCCGTCCAGTGCTTCCAGGTTTTCAATTGTGATGGTCTAACATTAATCGGTTCATGATCTCAATCAAAAACTTAATAATCTCCACAACCCCTATACTAGTAATTAACATGTGCTCACTAGTGACTAGCTTCGTGAGGGAATTCTCGGAGTTCTAGTGAGAAGCCGTGATCAGTGGAGCTAATCCTTGTCGGGTAGAGACAGGTATCTACCTCAGTACAATGGAAGTTGGTCGCGCAATTTCGTGGATTGGTTGATGTTAGAAACTATCACCATTGGATGCCGGCTCAGTGGTCCAGTTGGTTAAGCGTTCGCGCGCGAGACCGAAGGCCCTGGGTTCGAGTCCCGCTCGCGGGATCGTGGATGCGCACTGCTGAGGAGTCCCACAATAGGACGAAACGGCCGTCCAGTGCTTCCAGGTTTTCAATTGTGATGGTCTAACATTAATCGGTTCATGATCTCAATCAAAAACTTAATAATCTCCACAACCCCTATACTAGTAATTAACATGTGCTCACTAGTGACTAGCTTCGTGAGGGAATTCTCGGAGTTCTAGTGAGAAGCCGTGATCAGTGGAGCTAATCCTTGTCGGGTAGAGACAGGTATCTACCTCAGTACAATGGAAGTTGGTCGCGCAATTTCGTGGATTGGTTGATGTTAGAAACTATCACCATTGGATGCCGGCTCAGTGGTCCAGTTGGTTAAGCGTTCGCGCGCGAGACCGAAGGCCCTGGGTTCGAGTCCCGCTCGCGGGATCGTGGATGCGCACTGCTGAGGAGTCCCACAATAGGACGAAACGGCCGTCCAGTGCTTCCAGGTTTTCAATTGTGATGGTCTAACATTAATCGGTTCATGATCTCAATCAATTGTAATTGTCCCTGTTATCTTTATTCATAAATCTTTGTATTATTATTATTATTATTATTATTATTATTATTATTATTATTATTATTATTATTATTATTATTATTCGTACTATTGGTTAAATATCGTTAATCTCCCCTTTACATGATTCATTCACTTCGCATTCATTCCTCCGTATTACGTCTTACTTATTTGATCGAATTGTAATTGCACTATTATTTCTCTCTCACCCTATTTGACCCATATTTATTCTGATCATGGATCTTAAAATTTCATTTAACATATACGCAGATTCAAGTTAACATTCTATATGAGTCATATTAACATTAACAATTTTATTGTATTTTGTTTATCACAATCCTAAATTCACATGCTCTAAACGATGTACTTTACCCTTAACTTGGCCATTTTTCGGATTAATAATTTGGATATATAACTGTAGAACCTGAAGAGAATTTATCGAAAAGAATATTCTTCGTTCAAATATTAGTCTTTTAATATGACGGAGATCTTTAAACAAATAACTAAAAGATTATCTGAGTTATGAGCACGGTGTAGGTCTTCAGTTTTATTGTTAATAGTTTAGCGACGCTCATCATTCTAAGTCAATATTTATTATCATTGTTTCGGGTTATTATTTCATATGTTTGCGAATCTATCTAACTGCTCACACCAAATCAGCTGTAGTAAGTTTCGAACCCTGTACTCAGTAGTTTAACGCTGGCTAATTTAACCATCCTTTTATTGGCAACTTCTATAATAATAAGTGTCATATTTTAGTTAAATATTGTTTTAGGTCACCCCTCTGCTCATCCACCTTGAATCCAACTGAGCTTTTCTTTTACAGATTATCGGATTTCACCTACACACACACGCACTATCCATTATCTTTGAATCTAAACGTGTATTTTTTGTGAAGCGTTTGGCTAAACTGTCCGTTAGTCTAAATATTTATTGTATGCATTAGTAGTACTGCAGAAAACAGTAAGTTTTGGTGTTATCATGAAAAAACTCTAGGAGGATTATAATAATCATGTTTGGAATAAATTACATGAGTATCATGTCTTTATCCCATATATATAGACACGATGTGATCAATATTTTCATGTTATCTTACTTCATCTAGGATTATAATGGTGAAACTGCCTTACATTTGGCAATCAGATCAAAAAATGAAAAACTTGCCAACCTGTTAATTGAAGCACCTCAAATAGACTATACCGTTCGTGATGCACAAGCATACACCGTATTTCATGTAGCTGTGGAGTTACGTCAACGTGCAATTGCACAAAGTCTTTTGAAAAAAGACCCTTCTTTAGCTTTACAAGTTAGTTACTGATTAAGAATGAAAGTTTTTTTAAATGTTATGTAGATTGGTTAGCTTCTGATTCATTTTTTTAATGCCATACCATCAGTTCGGTTGATTTTGTTATTTTATAGTTTATATTACGGACTAACCTTAGTTAGACAACCATTTGAAACTAGGAAACACTAGACAATTGTTTCCTCTTAGTATGGGTCTTCTAACCATTGGGGATCTACCACCTTAATGAAGTTCGAATCTTCAACCTTTTTGTTTTTCAGAGAGCATTTAGCTTTTAGACCACTGAGCCTCTGTTCAGCAGTTTACATATCTAATTTAAATCAATTCTGAATATTACCCAACCGTCTTCGTGGCCAGTGGAGTTCAACTATGGTGTGAGAAGCAAGCTACTCATGGATGCCAATGGAGAATGGTTGTGCAATGTGGCAAATGGATTAAAGCTAAATATATAAACGTTTGATGGCTAGTGAGCCATCTCATAGTTAAGCTCTCGTCATGAAACATGAAGTCTGTATATTCAAGTCATATTAAGGTAGTGGATGCCCACTATTTAGGAGTCTCGTGCTTGAAAGAAACAGCTGTTCAGTGCTTCCTGATTCTCAATGGTTGTCTAAACTCAATTCGTGGCGTAAAGAAAATATGCTAAAAATCTTCAGAAACCCCCTTTTACTGATGATTGTTATTGTTCAGGGACTGTGCAAGTAAAAATACAACATATTTGTGTTCGTAACTCCGGGAAATAAAAGAAGTCAGCTTATCAATTCATAACGGAAATTTTTTATATATTATGAAAATGGTAGTTTAGTGGTCTATAAATTTCTCTTCTATCAGTTAATTATTTAAGATCTACCCTTATTTCATTTACTTAAAGATTTGAGTAGCTTCCGTTGTATGACTGATAACATGTATTACAACATACTAACTAATTTGTACATATTTTCCTCACTTTCCAAGATTTTGTCTATTAATTCGTAATCTAGGGACCTGAAACGGAGGAAACGGAAAAGAAATCTTCACACCTAATAAGTCTAATAATAATAATAATAATAATAATAATAATAATAATAATAATAATAATAATAATAGTTCAGGTGTATTTATATCACATATTCAACTTGGAAAGTAAACATCTTTTTGAACCTCTTTCTTATAGGCTGTTTGTTTTATTCATTTTCCCTAGCATTGAGTTAACATTCCAACATAAACATTATCGTTTAATTTCTAATTGTAATATTTTGCATTATGAATAGGTTGATAGTTCAGGACGTAATTTTCTACATATTGCAATAGAAAATTTCGATCGTGAAGCTATTTTTCTTCTTATTCAAATTGGAGTTGATATGAATGCTTGTGTACGTGATGCACATCGTCTCACACCCTTCCATTTAGCAATTAAGACAGGCGTAGATGAGGATATTTTACGTAGTTTGGTAAGATATGAAGATTGTTTTATTTGTAATATCAGTTGTTTAGTGAATTACCACATGATACCTTAGTAATGAGTTATAATATTTCTATAATTCCTTAGCTTAGCTGTGTGACTACTTTACGTTATGTTTTCAAAACCTATTTGCCGTATTTCATTTTATGGTCACATTAGTACGTAAAGAAATGTGTTATTTTGGCTGCTAATTGAAAATAAATGAGTCAAATAATTCGATTCTTAGTTTAACACGTAAATTTGCTCTTTGGTTCTATTAAACTTATGTAGTATCTGTCATACAACAATCAACAACACTTGCTATATGTCAATTCATTAGTCTATTTGGGGCTGACCTTTAGAAGGATATTGATAAACCTTTGGTAGGTGTAAGGAATATTTGGTATGATATACTTGGAACAGTTAGTCTGCAGTGATATACCTTCTTAACGCCGCTTTAATCCTTTTTATAAATTCTACTTGAAGTCGCATCCCCTTTGAAAATGGACAAGTTTCTCATAACATTTTTATAAGCTTTGTTGAACTGGCAAGCAACTGAGAGGCATGATTCATATTACGATTGCTGTTCTCGTCTTATTTAGATTAACCCTTTGAAATAAACTTACTAGTCAACCTAGGATTTGTATTAATTAGCCATCATTTTTCAGACTGTAGAATTGAACGATACCATGAAATGTTTAGTTTGAGTAGAACGTTTTATTTTACTTATCTAATTGTTGAAATGTACATGAGTTTGTTGTCCCGTGAAATTTCGTATGTTCTCATATACTTTACAATGTTATCCACTTTCTCATGTCTACATAACATTTAGATTACAATCCTTTTTTTTCCTTGATATTATAAAGATTATAACATTTTCATTTAGAAGTCTTATTTCTTATTTTCATTCATCGTTATTTTGAGTGGGTTTTTTGTTTTTATTATCAATAGCTTCTTGCCGGTGCATCTATTAACTCACAAACACCACAAAAACAATATGGTCTTCACTTGGCTGTGATTTACAATAGACCGGAATTAGTACATTGTTTATTAGAGAATGGAGCTGACCCCAATTCTCAAGATTCTGAACGTAATACACGTAAGTATATATACTGCTTTATTATTCCGATCTCTTTTGCTAAGCATCTTGTTAATTTCACGTCGTCTTGCTAATTGGACATAACAACTTACGGATTTTGTAATTTCACCAACCTTTCCGATCAAAGTCGAACGAATGAAAAATCATTTTTCAATAAATCTCTTTTAAAAAATCACTCAAAATAAATAGCATTGACATCAGTTATGGAGGTTTGTTTGAATGATGAAATATTACGATGACGAAGGTAGGTGGCTTTGCACTTAGTTCAGTCACAAAACTGACATCAAGTAGGTAGTCATCAGATAACATTACCATCTTCCAAATGAAGTTTACTTTAAGAAAGTGCATGTAACTTATTTAGAAACTCTTTCTAAACTTAGCATTGTATCGTGATAAAAAATAATTATAATATCCAAAGTGACTACTTATACACTTTTAATTAATCACTATGTCCAAATTGATAGATATAAAAGTAGTTTTACATTCGTTTTAATGAAAATAGGGGTTTGTAGAAACATGCTAAACTGTAATTTAATAACAACCTTTCGAGACATCATTTTTAGTAAATCTTGATTTATAGATCCACCCCTAGTTAGAACAAATGGAAAGCGTGACATTAAATCCTTTAAAGCAAATGACTTATTTAATATATTAATATTCGAATGAGTGTCATCAATAATTTGCTTGATCTCCATTAGTTTACCTATAAAGTTTACAAAGTGCTGAGTTTAGTCATTTTAAGCGCAAAACTCTTAACCGTTAAATTTTCGATGCAGATTTATACCTTATTTATACGGATCTAAGCCAACTTCGTACACTAAATATTATTTATAACATGTGACATGAAATTGTTTTTACTTATTATTACCTGCTTCGGTCTGGGCACCCGGGCAGTATTACAGCCCACAAAGAAATCAAGTGACTTGTGTGGCGCATATGTATTCGGTGCCCCTTTGTACCAATATTTATGTGTTCAAATAAATAAAAATAAAATTCTACTTATTATTATTATGTTCCAATTACTCAGTTATTTCATGATAACAAATATCTTTTATTTCTGTGTAAGCATTACATCTAGCTGTTCGACATGCTAGAGTAGATTGTCTTGTAAAAATGCTCAATCATTCCGCTACAAATTGTTACTGTTTAAATATCAGGTTAGTTTCTATAATAATAATAATAATAATAATCTTGTGTACATATTACGATTTGATCGTAATTTTTTAAAAATAATCTCGATTGTATGTTTTTATCTCACCAATTTAGCATTCGTGTATGAATTGTGAAAAGGGTTTTCACTTTATTTATTCAACAGTAGTTCTTATGAAGCATCACGATGGTAAATGACAATGAATACTTAAACACTTTAATTTCCACAACGTGAACTAATAACATTATATGATGTATACTAGTATATAACTTTTGATTTTACCATAATTCTGTTCAAATAGAGAAAAATTTTGTCAATCGCTTTCAAGTGACTCATTTAACGTTTATTTAAATCACCTCTAGGGCCTCTTATAAGTTAGTATTAAGTGTTATATGTTACAGTATATGTACTAATTAGGATTTCACAGACCCCATTTTCTTACAAATGTGTGCGATAGTTTGTGTACAAGTGTATCCGTTCTTTGCTCATCAACTTAACCGCTCACCTCATCCAAGGTCTCCACCTTCATGAGTACGAATTTAATTACTTGTGAACACGTAGTAACTATAAACATTTCTAGTATTGGTTGGCAAGTAAGTCTTCTTGCGAGCTTGCTTTTTCAGCTTGTAAATCTATATTGGTCTGATAGGAGCGAATATTTGTATCTGAGTCTAAACTTTATATAAATTCACTGAATATTGTTAGACTTTATAGCCAAAATACCGCCATCTAATTCATCGGAAGCAATAAAATGATCGTCGATGCCAACGTGGCACACTAGAAGAATAAGTAGTACGATTTGTCCAATTTGAAATTTGTTGGGATTTATGTTTGATTTTGAGATGTAATAATAATGGCTAACACTGAATCTAACCCTAATTTCCAAAATTATTTCTAACCCTGAATCTCGGTTCTCACTATCTGTACTTCTTCATCACAATCAAATTTTTTTGAAACATCAGTGCCAGGTTTTTGTGCTTTAGTTCCATCCTAATCCCTTTCAATAAACAATCCAACATGGAATTGAACACCCTCACTTTTTATATCCAACTCTTTAATCATATGTAAGCTGACTACTAATGAGTAGCCAAATACTATCCAGTGAAATTCTTTGAACGATGAGAAATTTTTCTTTGTGAACTCTCATATAATGAAGTCGCATCTCGTGTCGATTTATTCATCATAGTCTTTAGAATAAAGTTAACACTGTTAAATCATACATTTGGTGCTTACATTTAATTGATCTTCATGTGGATTGCAAATATTTATGAATCGATCAATATTAGACCACTATTGAAAACCTCGAAGCACTGTATGACCGTTTCTTCCTAGTATGGGGCTCCTCAGAAGTGCGCGTCCACGATCCCGCATGCAAGATTCAAACCCATAGATTTAGGCCTCGTGCGCGATCTCTTAACTTGTAGACCACTAAGTAGGCATCCAACGGTGTTAATGTCTAACTTCAATCAATCTACACTATTGCTTCCAGGTTTTCAGTTGTGGTCCAACATTAATCGATTCATGATCTAAATCAAAACTCAACAATCTCCACAACCCTATACTGATAAACACTTATGAATCCCAAATTTATTTAGAGGTCAATTGCCGATCCACTTGCTGGCTCAACATCAAGGTCCAGTCAGTGTTGAAATGCTTGAGTATTTATTAGAGGTATCTGTTGCCAATCAAATCAATGCCCAAGATGCTGCTGGCAATACTCGTGAGTAATTTACGTCAGTAGTTTTTGCGATATGGTATTGTCATGGTTTGTATTTTCGTTTAATATTATCTTGATATCTAGCTAGTAATTCGTTCATAATTGTCACACTGGAACTGCAGAGGAAACTTTCAAAACTGAATAAAATCCAATAAAAATATTACTTTATGCAATAAAGTCACACCATCGTAGTCAGTCGATCTAATCTAATAAGTCTGTAACATAAAAAGTTTAATTTCATTGAAATCATTGAAACCGATTCAAGTTAGACCATCATTGAAAACCTAGAAGCCTATCTTTAACTCGGGGCGTGGGAATCGAATTCTGGAACTTTCTTCACTCGCGAACGCTTAACCTTTAGATCACTGAATCACTCTCCAGTACTGTCAGTGTGTAACTTAAACCAATCCACGATTTTGCACGATCATTTTCCACTGTTTTCAATCGGTAACTGCCTCATACCCGACACGATTCAGTTCCACCGTTCATGGCTTTTTCTCCATTTTCTTGCTTAATTTTATAAACCGTAGTTTATACGTTGATCATATGAGAAAATGTCAGTGCATAAAAACTATGGTTATTTTATGTAATATTGATTTTTATACCGTAATACTTTGTCATATACACGCAAATGCATACAAATCTGAATTGTTTGTTTGCATACTTACTGGTTTTCTTCCCATACCAAATTTCTTCTAATCTCTTACTATTCATATTAGCATACTAATTTTTTTGTGTTTGTCCAACAATATTTGTTTATCTCACATGTATTCAATAATCTAGGTTAATGTAATAAAGTTTTTTCTTGATAATTCATTTATTATTCAATATTTAAGTTGACATGTTTATTCAATTACTTCTTATTCGTTTTCTTTTATCGGAAACCATTAGTGAATAATCCAATTGTTGATTTTACCTGTTTGTGGTATAACTTTACAAGATGTATTAAGAATCAGGAAGGATGTTTTGCTCTAATTATGCCAACTACTTCCTCAATTGGAGTGATTGAGTTACCTCCTACCTCGACCGGGGATATTTGCTTATGTAGGAGAAGTAGGCTAGAAGAAAACTGGAGAAGGCAAAGCTGAACTGTGCCACCAGTCTATGAACTAACTAACGGTTGAACTAAGCCGTGTAGGCACGTGCGGACTATCGTGTTGGAGTTCGTAGGATTATCATAAATAATGGTTAGTGATTTTGAATGACGTATAACAACTTGAATCGACGCCAATATGTGGCGCGTTCTACGCTGCATAAGTAACTGTTAAAATTTTAGGCATTAGAAAAAACGTTAATGAACAATATTCAGGCAAAGTGTATGACTTACGAGTACGAAAGATAAACTAAAGCGTCTAAATTATATAACAATACAAATTCTTTTTTGTCAATAAATATTTAATTATTATGCGACTAGTTATATAATAATTTGAAATAAGCTGTTTCTTATGAATCTTCTTCAATCGACAGAAGGTTCTGAACCTAGGTAGTTGTCACCTATTTGCATAATAGATCTGCAGTCTCAAGTCTCACTGTGATTTGAATCATCACCCAATAATACAGCTGGCGATGTTAAAATTAAGTCATTTAACGCATTATCGACTCCCAATATGACCAATATATTTATAAAACAATTAGTCCCTTTGATCAATTTCGATAATGTAATAAGAAGACGATTATCTTCGTTTTAATATATTTATCCGTATTGATCATTGAGCAGTAGCCTGTGTGCATGTTTCCTATCAAGTTCTATTGATCATGCTGTAAAGTGACCAGCAGTTCGACTTATTCCTCATGGTGTAACTTATTTCCGAATTTTAGTTTGGGTGGTTACCTTCAAGTAGCTGACAGCGGAACATAGTTCACAATGACTAGTCGCTTAGATTTGTGGTCAAAGTAAAACTTGTTCGTTATAATTCGATCAACCCAAGGGACTAGCCAAAACTCAATCAACCTAGTTATTTTAAGAATTACAGTTATCAGTTAGTTCGTTTTACAACTTGTCAGGTTTAGCATACTTCAAATGGCTGCCACAATTTTTGAAATCACACTTGAATTTTCTATGGGAAACCAATGATTTTCATCATAATCTTAATTCAAGCCACCTAGTTTTATTAATTAGTTTTGATTTTGCTATAAGTTTCTGATTTACTGAACACATACAGTTCTTTTATACACGAACTCCGCTGTTCAATAATCTGTCGATTAAAACGACATGGAAAAATATGTACGGACTTTTTTAGTTATAGTTAAATTTTGAATTTCACTCTAAATTATTATTGTAGCGTACAGTTGAAAAGTTAATTGAAAATTTGCATGTTATTTTTATGTTCTTTGTTCGTTCTAATAGTTCTCTTCTAATTTGCAAGTAAATTGTTAACCAATGGAGTTCGACTCCGTCAAAATATAAAAGTATCTTCTATGTTATTTTAGCAAGCAGTCAATCAGTCATTGACAATATAGAGTGTGAATCTGCTAGAGACGTAATAAAAAGCATACAAACATAACAGGTGAATATTTGAGTAAATGTATCCAAGAAAAGCCATTACCTGGCGTTTTTTCCACCGCTGTGTGACGCCGTTTAACGAACTATAATAAAGCAAAAGACACTGGAATGTTACTTCATCTTAGTTTGCCCCTTCAAATTAGTGCTCATTCATAACCTCATACGCATATGACTCTCATCTCAGAAATAAAAAAGGGTCACAATAAGCACCTGTGAATTTCACTGCAACAATTTACTTATGGAACGCTAATTGGTTCCTGATATAATGCAACCCTCAAGTAATCTCATAATAAAAATCACCTTATGATTTAACTATTTGTCAAATTATTTCAAGGATACATTTTTTGAAAAAAAGATGTCGCTCATTTTGTTTTACATTCATAAATATTGTTTATTTTCTAAATGTTAGTTTCTTCTTACATGTCACTAATTCTTTGTCTTTAAAAAAAAATAATAACATTTGATCTTAATAAGTTTTTCTTGTTTTGTTTGGTTCTGTTTTCTCCATCTTTCAGCATTAATTCTCGCATATCAAGCAGGAAACATATCACTTTGTACCGCATTACTTCAAGCCGGTGCATCTTTAGGAATTATGAATTCTGAAGGGGATACTGTGTTTAGTCTAAATAAAAAGAAATGTAAAAGTTCAACTCCTGGACATGTTCTTTCACAATTACTAGGTACATTTTTTTCTTGAAATTCATATGTTTTAATAATTATCCTTCTTTTTAAACATTTTCCAATACACTACACTTTTGACTCTGACGATTCAATAAAATAAAAATATAACTTGAGAATGAAAGCTTTGAATCTGAAATAGACACATCTGTTAGATGACAAAATCTGTTTAAATTTACTTAATTAACCTCAATATTATATTTTAACAAAGAAATATTCTGTTTTATAATAAACTGATTAAATTTAGTTGCCCACACTTTTCTATTTGGTTTTGTCTATTAAAGTGATTTCTTTTTAATGAAAATGATTAGATTCACTTATTCAAGAACCTCGATGGGAAGATGGTTCTGTTTGTGTTGAATGTTGCGTGAAGTTTGGTATAACTAACAGAAAACATCACTGGTATGTGATTTATTGTAATCTAAAATTTGTTTTTTTGTTATTCGTCTATCTAATTTCTTCATTAGTATGATAGACAGAAGTGAAGATTTAGTGATTTGTTTTGTGATCTTGATCTTTGGCCAGTCATTTGTCGATTACTTCAATCATTTTTTGGTGTATTTAACTATGGAATTTCATATAGATACTTGTTTATTAATATGTTGTTCTCAGTTCAATATTTACTTCATAATAAATCGAAAGCGGTGATAACCACTGTTTATGTATAACAAATCAAGACAGTATGAGTATTAAAAAATATAGTTTTCCGATCATAGCTTGATGAATCGTATATTTCATTTTTTTGTGCGACGTTCGCGATCTTTGATTGCAGACTTTGAGTGACATACTCCAGAATCGTTCACATTAGTACATATGCATTCATTCGATAAATTCTTCTCTGTTTTAAATTGTAGTACACGCTCATACATACGCTTTAACTATCTTTTCGAGTCAAGCTTTCCATGATTAATCTTTGTCATTATCACTGCTACAACCTTATTTCAATCTCTTTTAACATTCATTATCGCAACGGCCATCGTTCGGAACTTAGAAGGCCATCTGTGCAATCGCTGAGACCACAAACGAATGAATAATTGCACAGGATCCTTTTTATTATCAACAATCACCAGCCATAATCACTTGTCTTCAGCAATTCAAGTCGCTCATAAATTGTAAATATTAATAACAATAACAAATAATATTGGTACTTCTCGTTATTATGCTCTTCACTGTTTTCTGATCCAATCCAGATCCACATATGAGGATTAAATAACGGAATTTCGATACCGATAAACAAATTTTAGTAGTTCCAATACTCCAACGTCGTTGACATTAATCTCGTTAATTTCATCTCATTGTGCCAATGTTCCATGGTAACTTGACCCAATACACATATGTATCAAGCTACATGTTGATGATAACTGACTGATTGAATTCATTATTCAATAGCATTAACTTCTGTGTTAAAAATGTGACTAATTTACAAAGTACGAGTATCTGTATTCAACTTTAATCCATACATTTTTTTGAGATCTCGTTGATTGGTAATCGTCGGCTTCTTCACTCGAAGTAAATGTGGAATCCTGACCAGTTTAACCACCAGAAACCACTACTCTGTGTGTATCTTGTTATTTTTAATCCCTGTTTCCTCAAGTTATCAATATTGATGTTTCATCAAATCACTAAACTACTAAAAATCGTATTATATTTCACCATTGTTGTTGCACTTTTAATTAATGACAAACGTGATCTTGACATTTCTCTTTTTTTTCTAGTCGCCACTGTGGACGTTTACTTTGTGCTCAATGTTCAACATTCGAAATACCAATTGTAAAATATGAACTTTCTAAACCAGTTCGAGTATGTGAGGTTTGTTTTAACTTCCTGAATAATCCATCCTAGTATATGCATATTACTGACGGTTATGATTTTTAGTCATTCTTTCATAGGCTCCATTATATATATATATATATATATATATATATATATATATATATATATATATATATATATATATATATATATACTTTTCCTCATTATTTATGACTTACTTTCGATTTCTTTCATATCAAGTTCTTTGTTGATTTCTTATTTTTATTTGGTAATTTTAAACAAAGCTGAATATATATATATATATATATATATATATATATATATATATATATATATATACATATATATATATATACATATATATATATATATATATATGTATTGTGTCGTTAAGTGATAGAATGATATTGATGATTTCTCTTATTATGCATTAATCACAATTAAACTGACAGTTTGTTTACTTGATGTAATTAATACATGATATATGCAAATAATTGTTTTCTTGAAAATTCATTTATTTTGTTTATTTCTGTTTTGAGTGTTGGTTTGATGATTGAAAACCTTCTTCTTGTTCTTTTGATTCAATTAGAATTTTCTGTTATTAATTTATTATTATTTTGTTCTTTATGTTTATGCTTTGTGTTAAACTTATATAAAAAATAAAATAAAAGAGATTGTTCATGAAAATTTGATCAACTTTTATTGGGGAGGAATAAAAATTTATTGATGATTGATATTTTATTGAATTGTTATCATTAAATAGTGAATAAAGGATCACTGAATAGCTTTTTCATTTTAAATTGTAGATGACAGGTCCAATTCTTGCTTCATCTACTTTTGTTTGATTTAACATGACTCGAAACCGAATATATAATGCTGTGCCTTGTTAAATAAATTAAACTTACGTCAATATTATCCAAATTCAATGATTTTAAATTTTACTGAAGTAAAATGTAGATTTATACTAAACGGACGAAAAATTTGTCAACAGGTCGGTCATCATTATATATATTTATATATATTTTATGTTCAGCTTGATTCAAAAAGTCGTTATATAAATTTAACAAGCATCTAACCAAGCACGCTAACTTTACAAAATATTAAATAAATATGAAGATATTTAGAAATAATCGAGTCGATGAATTATGTTTTTATAAGATAAAAATATTCTTTGTGTTTGGTTAACATTTTTGATGAGTAGATTTTCTCTTAAATTGTCTTCTCATAAGCGGTAATACTTATAAAAAGAATTGTTAAGAATATCATTTGCGAAATTGCTGCAAACGATATACATATCATTTAAGTTTTACTATTCATTGTATTTATTTGCATTTGTTTTCTTATTACTTAGTCACGTAGGAAAGCAAAATGTATAGTTTCAGTTTGGTTACTGATATGAATAAATTTGGACAAAGTGTCTGTAGTTGATTGAACATTAAAATCTGCATGTTAGTGATAGATGGTTATTTCATTTTATTTCTAGAACAGTTGAAAAACTAATTAGTATTGAGGACAGATTATCTACTTTTTGAAATTTATTTAAACACATAAACATTAGTACACGGAAACACCAAATATATATGCGGCACACGTCGTCACTCGACTTGTATGGGGGCTGGAATACTGCCCGGGCGCCCAGAACAAAGCAGGTGGTGTTTTTGTAGGCCACACCCTGAGCCTTTAACCTATAGGTTTAATCCACAAGGCATTGGAGCAACGTTAGATGATGCAGTCCGATTGTAGCTGGTGGCAAACAAATTGTCCGGATGCCATTTGTTTCCTCAGTTTCCTGGAGCCCATGTACACCATTAGTTTGGAATCAGGGTTTTCCAACATTCCTCGATGGACCCTCCCTGTTCATTAATTCGGTTATAGCGCCGGACATTCGATTTTCATCCCATTGATTTCGCAAACAACACTATCGTCGCGAGGAGGCGTGGAGTTGGACTCTCCTGGCGGTGGCTGTATACGCGTGGCGATGTGAGGGAATTTTGAGGAGAGCTGACTCTCGCTACCCTCTTCCGTACTGGAGTATTTCGGAGGTCCGTTGTTTCGAGTATAAGTGATAAGCGTTTCCGATATAACAATAAGCGACGATCAGATATTCAAGTAGCATTCAATTGACAAGTTATGACAGGGGACAAGAGATAGGGAAATTTGTTGAAATTCAAGTACGTTATATATATATATATAGGGCGGAAATGTGCTTATTACAATCCAACTAGTAGAAAACCGTAGTGATTGAGTAAGCGTCTGTCGGTGTGCTGACTGCTAAAAACATTTATAACACATTTTGAATGTGTATTAAAGAGGTATTTGTGATGTTACTGCCAAACTGGTTCTAAGGTTTGCTCAATGTTTCAAAATTTACCGTATTGAATAAAGCAGTCATTGTGAATATTATTATTAGGCCACCCGGCTCAGAGAACTCAGTGTCAACTGGTCTATTCCGTATGTATTTATGTAAATTGATTCTTATTGAATTACTAAGATTTATATTTCTGAAATCTAGTTCCTTCCAAAAGAGATCATAACAAATAATTTCTCTTGAGCCGAACCCCAATCACTTTTCTTGAAGCTAGATAGGAGAAATCGGTTTTTTATGTATTTCTACTTAGGTATAGAATAATCTGTTGACGAGAGGAAGGGAAATTTCTCTACTTTAGTTGGTATCTCTTAGTAACTATTATCGTCAATAGTTATATCACTTGGTAAGTTTATAATTAGGTGTCGGACGTCATAGGTATGCGCATTTTTATTTTGCCTAAAATCATGTGGTGATAATGTCAGGATTAAATGAGTTATCAGAATGAATCTTAATTTTTTTAAATCAAATTAATTTTATTTCCATTCTTTTAAAACAAATTAAAAATTGACTTTTTGCAATGTTTATAGCTTGATTCTTTAGGAGATTTTTGTTTTTGGTTGAAATTATTTTTACTTTTCTTTTTCTTTAGTTATCTTTGTAACGTAAGCCATAAAATGTCAAATAAGCAACATAACTTCTCGAAAACCTAGAAAATTGACCATCTGAAAATAAATTTCAGACTGACCATAAAAGTATATTCATAATTTTTTCCGGTACTGAAATAAATCAAGAAAAACTTGGAGTACTGGCACTAGGTCTTAAGTTCTGTGATACACGAAACCATATAAATTATATAGATTCAGACATTCAATTTGAAAACCTAAATCATCGGACATCAGATCTATTTCCGACCTCTGATCAAGAACTTGAACATTTCAAATCGAAGCTGGCTAATTGTTGCTATTAGTTTAAAAACAGTACGTGTATTTACAGAAGCCATTTAACTAAAAAAACACAAGTAGACTATCAGTAAACTTAGTAATGACGAAGATTTGACTATTACGAAGCCTGATAAAGGAACAGGGACTATCCTACTTAACAAGAAAGACTATATTGAGAAGATGAATAACATTTTGAATCGACACCTAAAATTCCAGAAACTGAGTGACCAAAAAGAGAATGAGCTGACCAGATCTTCAAAAAAGCCCAGAGATTGATAGGTAATTCGACCAAACACATGTGAAACAATTAAGCCGATAATTACGTATTTACCTAGGTCATACGGACTACCGAAGGTATACAAACCTGATATCCCATTGAGACCTATTTCAGACATGTACAATACCCCTTATCATACTGTAATAAAGGGGTTAGTAACCGTTTTAAACCCACTCCACAAACACCTAGTGAAGCCTAGTATTAAGAATGTATTCCACTCAGGGAGTCTAGAATATATGTGTAAACAACTTGGTGAACAGAAATAGAGGCTGCATTCCTTGTGGAGATCACCAAAGAATTATTACTGGAATGTACTACGATCGTAAACTTCAAATTCAACGGTGTCCTATATAGACGAATAGATGGTGTTGCGATGTGTTCACTCCTAGGTCCCATATTGGCTAACATTTGCCTCGCTAAACTAAAAAACGGTCCACTGGCACAGCAGATTGACAAGTTTTCATTTTACTACCGATATATGGACGATACGTTCATCCTTAGGAACGACCATTACTGACTTGATAGAAACACTAGAGCGATTTAATAAAGTTCATTCGTCTATAAAATTCACATACGAGGAAGAAAATAGAAATAGAATAACCTTTCTAGATATTCTAGTTACAAAGAGAATAAATGGGTCATTAAGAAGAAACTAAATATTTTTGAGTTGTATCATAGTATTTACTTTTGCAAGATTATGTCCTAGTTCAAATCAGTATTATGCATAAATTAAGCATGACATTCACTTGTGCTTACTCAACGCATTCAATTTTGAAGAAGATACAAATAATTTTCCCAGAACTACATTTCTTGAGTTCATCTTTATTCTGTCAAAAGTCCTAAAACGAGCTCATATACTGAGTTCAAAAAATGTATTAAAACAATTTAAGAGTATTTCTCCTTGATGTATATACATCAACCATAACTGATTGAAAAACCTTATTTGTTTCAGTTAACCTACAGTTTAATGTTTATTACCATATAGTTTAAAGTAATTTTTTCCTGAGATCTTCTGTAGTTATATAATTGTAGATTCCTATTTGTAGTCGAATAATAAGGATCGATAGTAGATGATTATAATTTTCTATCGAACCAGACATTCATATATCCCCTTCTAACAGAAGAAACTAGGGAAATGGACAAATTTCAAATCTTTCCATCACATTAAATGAATCAATACATTTTTTTTGAGATCAATAGTTCCATAGCAAAACTCCTCACTGTTTTTTTCAGATTAAATGACAATAACAAGGTTTGTAGAATGAAGTGAATTTAAATATATTGTAAAGTATCTTGGCTACAAACACTATACAGTTATGAAGGTTCATTTAATTATAAACACAGTTTCGATGTGGATCAGGTAGTGACGTTCAGATGGCTATCCAAAAAAAGCAACCGACAGTTGTAGTACGACAAATGGGACATAAAATATGAAATTAAACATTATTGAGATTGATGTCCATTTATTTGTCGAAAGAGTAGTCATCCAAATTAGAAATGGGGGTGAGGTTATAATTTCTAATAGTCATAAAAAAATTAAGGGATTGTATAATCGTAATAAAAATAATAAATGATTACACAATAGATTGGAATAATTTGAACTAAAATCAAATTAATACAAGAGTATCAATTAGATCATGTAAGAGATAATAATTATTCACTCCCAATCGTTATAACCATGGCAAAGAAAGTCAGTTGAGTCTCTTCTGTTCCATAAATAAGTTCGTTTATAAAAGTTTCTTAACAGTTAACTCCCCAAAATAGTGTAAAATTGGCGCTAATAAT